AGATTTCTGGGGCCAGCCCAGGGGTACCCCGAGCTCGGTGACCCCACATCCTCCCCCCGTTCCCAGAATTACTTCCGCGACGCCTGGAACATCTTCGACTTCGTGACGGTGCTGGGCAGCATCACCGACATCCTGGTGACGGAATTCGGGGTAGGTGGGCGCCGCCACCACCCCTCCCCTGCCCTGACCCCATTTCTGGGGTCCCCTTTGCCCCCCTCACCCCCTTTTTTTGTTTTTTATCCCCTCCGCCCCACCAGAACAACTTCATCAACCTGAGCTTCCTGCGGCTGTTCCGCGCCGCGCGCCTCATCAAGCTCCTGCGCCAGGGCTACACCATCCGCATCCTGCTCTGGACCTTCGTCCAGTCCTTCAAGGTGCCCCCCGAAACCCCCCGAAAACTGTCCCCTGTGTCCCCCTGAGGGCCCCCCGCAGCCCTCCGTGACCGGCCCGCTGTGCCCCCCAGGCCCTGCCCTACGTGTGCCTGCTGATCGCCATGCTCTTCTTCATCTACGCCATCATCGGGATGCAGGTGAGACCCCCCGGGGGTGGGTGAGACCCTCCTGGGGCAGGTGAGACCCCCCGGGGGCAGGTGAGACCCTCCTGGGGCAGGTGAGACCCCCCGGGGGCAGGTGAGACCCCCGGGGGCAGGTGAGACCCTCCTGGGGCAGGTGAGACCCCTGGATGCAGGTGAGACCCCCAGGTTCAGGTGACCCTCCCCAAATTCAGGTGACCCCCCAGGTGCGGGTGGCCCCCCCCAGGTGTAGGTGACACCCCCAGGTGTAGATGGCACCCCCTGGGTGTGACCCCCCTCCAGGTTCAGGTGACTCCCCAGGTTCAGGTGACCCCCCCCGGGTTCAGGTGACCCCCCCAGCCCCCCCTGAGCTGCCCCGGGCCCCCGCAGGTGTTTGGGAACATCGGCATCGAGGAGGAGGACGATGAGTCGGCCATCACCCAGCACAACAACTTCCGCACCTTCTTCCAGGCGCTGATGCTGCTCTTCAGGTGAGCCCGGCACCCGGGTGGCACCTGGGTGACACGTGGCTGGCACCTGGGTGACACGTGGGTGGCACCTGGGCGGCCACTGCCACCCCTCTGTCACCTGGTGTGATCCCAGTGTCACCTGGTGGAATCCCAGTGCTACCCCAGTGCCACCCCAGTGCCACCCCAGTGTCACCTGGGCACCCAGTGCCACCCCAGCACATCCCCTGGCTAAATCCCAGTGCCACCCCAGTGCCCCACTGGTGCCACCGTCGCTATGACAGCCCCCTGCTCCATGTCCCTGCTGTCACCATGTCCCTCGGTGTCCCCAGGAGTGCCACCGGCGAGGCGTGGCACGAGATCATGTGTCACCCATGTCACCGTGTCCCTCGGTGTCCCCAGGAGTGCCACCGACGAGGCGTGGCATGTGTCATGTGTCACCTGTGTCCCTCGGTGTCCCCTGTCCCCAGGAGTGCCACCGGCGAGGCATGGCATGAGCTCATGTGTGTGTCCCTTGGTGCTGGCA